TCAGATATTTGTAAGTATATATTAGGTCCCCTCGCAGCCTTCTCTTCTTCATGCTAAATGAGCCCAGCTCCCTCAGCCTCTCCTCATAGGAGAGATGCTCCAGTTCCCTCACAGAGCACACTGCTGGCTCATGGTGAACCTGTCGTCCACCAGGACACCCAGGTCCCTCTCCACAGAGCTGCTCTCCAGCAGGTCTGCCCCAAGCCTGTACTGATGCATGGGGTTGTTCCTCCCCAGGTGCAGGACCCTGCATTTGCCTATGTTGAACCTCATCAGGTTCCTCTCTGCCCAGCTTTCCAGCCTGTCCAGGTCACGCTGAATGGCAGCACAGCCATTTTAATACATAAATTTACTAAATATATTTACCATACAAAGGTGGGGTTTTTTTAAAAGTAAGCTAAGCACATACTTCCAGAAAGATCTTGTAGCACATTATCACCCAGGATCTATTTTACATATATTACCAGTAAAGAATGTTAGAAAAAATATACATAAATTATTATGTACTAAACAAAGTGAAGAGTAGGCAGCTTGCATTCTGTCCCAGCAGAATTGGTCATTTGCTAATTACAATTACTACAGAACTTAGAATAATGGGCTAAGTGGCATGCTTCAGACTAAAACTAAATAAAATAGCAAAATGAATGGCTTAAAGTCAGTTATGCCAAAAAGTTCTGGCTGAATTAAACAATTTATCTGCTTGTGAAGATTGCGCAAAAACTTACAGACAAAAGTGGCTGAATAGTCATTTTCATAACGTGGCTAAAATTAAGAAGAATTATTTTTCTATAAGCATTCTACGTCAGTAACGTTCTCACATATTTTAACTGCAACTGTCATCTCTGTCCATTACAAGCTTCTGTGGAGGTTATTTCAGCTACTTTCATTAAAAATATTTGCTACAACACTTTTATTAAGAAAAATAACATGTGAAGATGTCGTTCATCCCTCCTTTAAAAGATTTGAAGCATGCTAATTGACAAACTTTCATAACTTTTCAATTAATGAATGAACTTTTTGCTGAGATTTAACACAATCTGAGCCCATCTACCTGTATCTTTCACTTGGAATAGTCACTTATACCAACAGAAGAAGGTTTAAAATGTTCCATTCCACTTGGCAACAATTCACATCCAGTTTGCACTGAGTAAATTTACAGTCTTAGGACTTTCCAGAGGAAAGTGGAGCTATGCTAACTGAACTAAGTTTGACTTTGTCCTCACCAGAATTTAAAAGTATAGCTTAGAAAGTGACAAGAAGATTTGAGCAGCATCATCTACTAAAATATATATGCTTACGGGTCAATGCTAGCAATAGTACCTGTGTTGCACAAGAGGACTTCAAGCCATTTCCATTTGTTGACTAATTCCTGCAATAAATTATGATTAAAAGTATTTTTTCTACATTTTGTTTCTCCATGCAGTTTCATAAGCAGTATCTAGATGCCACCATGCAGATGAATCAATTGTAACTGCAGTAATCATCATAAAACCAAACCACAACAGAATCTATTGTTATCCAGAATGAAAACCCAAAACAAAATCCCACAAAAGTCCAGTCATAATTACTCTGGATAAAGCACTTTAATTTGTCTTTCCTAATTCAGCCTGAGTAAACCTACAGTAAGTTAAATGTGTTTAGAGATCTAAACCAGAGATTAACGAAAATTAGGCTGTTCTAGAGCCTCATCATTGCCTGCAATTTCTAAGTAATATCCTTTGCAGGTAAACAAAATAGACCTGCCCTGTGTCTGACCAGGTAACATAAACACCTGTAGAACTGCTCACAAGCATCACATAGTCCTTTACTACCCAACTGTTACAAATACGATGTCAACTAAAAAACACCATAACACCAACACAGCACTCATTCGATGGCTTCAGAATTCTCAATGTTATAAATTAAACAGAATTTCAACATTAAATGCTGTTCTCCTAAGAAAATGTCTTTATTTGTTGTTGTTTTGCAGAGTCCAAATACCCATTAGCCTAATACCTCTTCCCTGCTATTTCTTTCGCAGCATTAATTCAGAGAAGTAGTGATAAATGAAGGCACAGGGTAATGCAATTAAAATTACAATCATTTAAAAACACAGAAGGATACTTTCCCATTGATGCTAAACGCATCTTAGTAGTTAAATATTATGAAATTTATCACCAATGACTAGCAGAATAAAAAGCTGTAACTCTAATTTTTCATAAACATTGCACCTTTTCATGTATACTTGAGCCGAAATGCATAAATTTTAAATATTCATTAATTGCAATGTAAAAATCAAGAAATACACTAAATGTATCTTTTCTCAAGGAATTTATTTCTGTGTTTACTCACTGTAAGAAAAGAACAACTTAGCTGATATTTCAAATTAATATGAAAACATGAGGATAGCGTTTTTCATACTTTGTAACTCAGTATCATAATTGGTACCATATTTATACTGTTTTCATGCTGTTAGAGGAGCTGAACTGTTGTCAGAGTAGTCTGTCACTCTTCAGATAAAATATGTTAAACATACAGTAGACACCAGTGTGACCCTCCATTTTTTCTTTATTTTCCTTTAAAAATGGTGTAGCTTTAAGCAGCACATTCTCTGAAATAGAATAGTCCTCTGGCCTGAACATCAAGACAGCTTAAAATTGTCTATCAGCTTCTATCTAAATACTGATGACGGCACCCTAATAAACTAGATGTGTTTTCAAGGTATTTTAAAAGGAAAAACATTTATATTTCAGTTTATATTATATTTATATTATTATTCAGAATTCGAAAACAGTCCTTGAGTTAGCCATTTAACAAACTATGAGAAATAAACAGGTAACATTTAAATGAAAGCAGTACGAGGCTCATAAAGCTTAAACATAGGGTACTGTGCAATGCAAAAAAGTAGAGAAAAAAAGGATAAAAATGAGATATTAAGGCAGAGGGGAAGTATCAAAAGGGAAGGAAGTTATCAAGGAGGAAGACATGTCAGCACAGATTGAGAAAAGGAGACAGAGGCACCACTAAAGATCATCAAAAATATTCAAAATTGAACAGTTTTGAAGCAGAAATTGACTATCTGAAACATTTTACACCTCAGTGCCCTCAGCGCTTTCTGCAGAAAGCAGACTCACAGCCAGATTGCGAGCATCGCTGCCTGGCAAACTTCCCAACTCTCTAGGTATCCAGGAAGCTGTTTCCCTAGAAATGCTGTCCAGAGAGCCAGAAAAATACTGAGTGCCCAGTATCTGCAGGGTAGAGACTTCTGCTGGTGATACTCCAAGTTGCTAAATTTTTCTGTTTTGTAGCTAGACAGATACAACATCCTTTCTTAGTCCTCAGATTCTTACACGGGAGGGACAGGCTTCTCCTACATAATAGATGTGCTATAATTCTCAAAATCCTACTAACCCTTCTGTAAATTAGTTCCAGTTTGAGTTCACTTTGTCCCATCATTTGGTCAAAAGCAGAAAGATATGGTTTCTGCAGTACCTTATAATAGACAATTAAATCTTCCTGTCTATACTAGAAATACTTTATGTATTATACTAAGGCAAGGTCTTTACAGTAAACTAGTATCTTCTGTCAGATCAAAGAACGTAGCTGAGGGAAACAGCACAAAAGTCCTTCTTTTAATCCATATTTCTGTGTGCTTGAAATTTTAACTAGCTTTCCACTTATGCCAATGGGCCTAAGATATTACCTTTTCTTACAAGTCTTGTCTTGTTCTCAGCCCACTGCCACAGGAATTAGTACTATTACAATGTCCCAGTAATATATTTCTCTTCCTCATGATCAAACCACAATGATGTTTTGCAATCATCTTGCGATTGACTATCACACACAGCAATTTATCTAACAATGCCACTAGTCGCAGGGTACACCACACTGTACTCTGAACTAGTGCACTTCATTCCATTTGTTTTAGTCCATAACGTCATGAAGATTTTCCAGTACAATATTCAGATTTTTCTCCATTTTAGCAACAATTCCCAAATTTGGTTTCGTGAGTTGATTCTATTAGTATTCATCTTCTACTTTTGACAAAGTTATGAGCAAAAATACTAATGAGATTAGTCTCCAGACCAGTCCTAGCCACACCGCTTTAACCTGAATACCTTCTCTTTCAGGAACCGTTGCAGTCACTTTGTTAGCTTACTAAAAAAGTAATATCGGTCGTCTGAAGAAAATTGAGCCCCTTTGGGAATGGGGAGTACTGCTCTCAGTAACACACCTCCAAAAGCTCAACTGGCCTTTGACCTCAGAAAGTGAGGGGTTCCTACAAAACTAATCCTTTCAGTCTCTTGACTTTTTCATTGTTCTCATGTTCTGGCTGCCTCTTCCCAGAACAGAGGAGCAAGGGCTTTTTAACACCTACGAAGAAAGAATAACCAGGTCATATAAAAAAACTAGTCTGTTTGATTAGTTCTTCTTTCCCAGCTTTTGCTTCCATTGTATTTTTATACCTGATTTTAGGCTACTGAAGCTTCTCAGGAGTCGAGTCTTGGGTTGATGATAAAGTCTTTAACCGTTTCTCTTGCAATCATTGTAAAGTCACACTTGCTTAAAGCACACTATAAGTCCGATTCAAATTATAAAATCTGCAATTTTAAGCCTGCTACATATAAATGGTATTATATGGTTATAGAAACAGTAATATTATTTTTCTGAGATGTGCTTTTGTCATTTTAGAATAATACAAACCATTATGAGATCTCATTACTAAGCAGAAATTTCTGTGACAAGTACGGAACAAGTTAATTACTTGCTCTTATTTTTCATATTCCTCTTAATGTTAGCAAAATTATGTACTGTGAATGACAAAAATGAAATTCACCTAATGAAAAAGTCTGCCAGCAGAAAAAGAGTGCACTTTGCTCTCAGCTTTAAATATTTGTCTATTATTTCGCAGAATAGCCACATGCAGTATTTATTAATAAGTGACATCTCAATGGAAGCCTATAAAAGATACTGCTCCTATGCATAACAAAAGGAAAAAAAATCAAATTAAGATTACTTACTTGATTAAGTATATCTTGTTTCTGTAACGCATGCAAGGAAAGAAAGAACACACGTATATTAGTGCAGTGTTGTAACACTCAGGCTCTGCTTTTATAAAAAAACTATTTTTGTTGAAAGGTTAGTGATGTAGATAAACAAGTTTAAGACATTAGATAGAACATCCCATTTTCTTGAATTAGCACATATGTCAAGAAAATGGTTCTAAGTCAGCATTCTAGTCTTGATTAGAGAGTGCAAGCAATTTATTTTTAATCATGCAATGATAGATAATCAAGAAAAAAAAGCAATATAGCATTTGTCTTTCATCCTTGTGTACTTGGAAAAAAAAAAACATATTAAAAATTACTCGTTGCCAAGAATGGTTGTTAACAAAACAACTTATTCAGAAGTGAATACCATGATAAATTCCATAAATACATTAACAACAACAGGAGAGTTAAGGACAACCTCCATCCTTTATTGGATGAGGGCGGAAACATACTGAGCAAGGATGAGGAAAAGGCTGAGGTACTTAGTGCTGCCTTTGCTTCAGTCTTTTAACAGTAAGACCAATTGTTCTCAGGGTACCCAGACCCCTGAGCTGGAAGACAGAGACGAGGAGCAGAATGAAGCCCCCATAATTGATAGGGAAATGGTTAGCGACCTGCTACACCACTTAGACACACACAAACCTAAGAGGCCGCATGGGATCCACCCAAATACTGAGGAGTTGGTGCAAGCGCTCACCAAGCCACCTTCAATCATTTATCAGCAGTCCTGGCTAACTGAGGAGGTCCCTGTTGACTGTAGGTTATCAAATGTGATGCCTATCTACAAGAAGTGTTGGAAGGTGGATCCTGGGAACCACAGGCCCCCCAGTCTCACCTCAGTGCTGGGGAAGGTTATGGAGCAGATTATCTTGAGTGCCATCACACAGCACATACAGGACACCCAGGTGGACAATGAGGCCCACTCAGCATGGGTCTATGAAAGGCAGGTCGTGCTTGACTAACTCTATCTCCTTCTATGACAAGATGACCCGCCTAGTGAATGAGGGAAAGGCTGTGGATATTGTTTACCCGGACTTCAGTAAAGCCTTTACTACTGCATTCTCCTGGAGAAAATGGCTGCTCATGGCTTGGATGGGCGTATTCTTCACTGGGTAAGAAACTGGCTGGACAGCCAGGCCCAAAGAGTTGTGGTGAATGGAGTTAAATCCAGCTGGAGGCCGGTCCAGTACCACAAGTGATGTTCCCCAGGGCTCAGCACTGGGGCCAGTTCTGTTTAATATCTTTATCAATGATCTGGACAAGGGATCAAGTGCACCCTCAGTAAGCATGCAGACAACACCAAGCTGGGCGGGAGTGTTGATCTACTCAAGGGTAGGAAGGCTCTGCAGAGGGATCTGGACAAGACTGGATCGATGGGCCAAGGCCAACTATGTGAAGTTTAACAAGGCTCAGTGCTGGGTCCTGCATCTGGGTCATAACAACCCCATGCAACGCTACAGGCTTGGGGAAGAGTGGCTGGAAAGCTGCCCAGCGGAAAAGGACCTGGGGCTGTTGGTTGACAGCCAGCTGAATATGAGCCAGCAGTGTGCCCTGGTGGCCAAGAAGGCCAATGGCATCCTGGCTTGTATCAGGAATAGTGTGGCCAGCAGGAGTAGGGAGGTGATTGTGCTCCTGTACTCAGCACTGGTGAGGCCGCACCTCGAGTGGTGTGTTCAATTTTGGGCCCGTCACTACAAAAAAGACATTGGGGTGTTGGCACATGGCCAAACAAAAGCAACAAAGCTGGTGAAGGGGCCAGAACACAAGTCCTATGAGTACCAGCTGAGGGAACTGGGTTTATTTAGTCTGGCCAAGTGCAAGGTCCTGTACGTGGGTCGGGGCAATCCCAAACACAAGTACAAGCTGGGCGGAGAGTGGCTTGAGAGCAGCCCTGAGGAGAAGGACTTGGGGGTACTGGTGGATGAGAATCTCAGCATGTGCTGGCAATGTGTGCTTGCAGCCCATAAAGTCAACCCTATCCTGGGCTGCATCAAGAGAAGCGTGGCCAGCAGGTCGAGGGAGGGGATTCTGCCCCTTTACTCCTCTCTCGTGAGAGCCCACCTGGAGTACTGCATCCAGCTCTGGGGCCCCCAAAATAGGAAGGACATGGATGTGTTGGAGCAGGTCCAGAGGAGGGCCAAAAAGATGATCAGAGGGCTGGAGTACCTCTCCTATGAGGACAGGCTAAGACAGTTGCGGCTGTCCAGCCCGGAGAAGAGAAGGCTCTGGGGTGACCTTAGAGCAGCCTTCCAGCACCTGAAGGTGGCCTACAGGAAGGCTGGAGAGGGACTCTTCACAAGGGTGTGTAGTGACAGGACAAGAGGGAACATCTCTAAACTAAGAGAGGTCAGATTTAGATTAGATATTAGGAAGAAATTCTTCACCATGAGGGTGGTGAAACACTGGAACAGGCTGCCCAGAGAAGCTGTGGATGCCCCCACTCTGGAAGTGTTCAAGGCCAGGGTGGATGGAGCTCTGAGCAACGTGGTCTAGTGGAAGATGTCCCTGTTCATGGCAGGGGGGTTGGAACTAGATGATCTTTAAGGTTCCTTCCAATCCTTACCATTCTATGACTCTATGACTATATGCTGCTTTAGTTTCTAACAATTTTTACTCCTTTTAATAAAGGCACCATATTTTCTACCTTCATCACAAACTGCTACTACTACTTCCCAATAAGAGGTATTACCTTAAAATTATAGAAACAGTTGTATTCTCTGCATAAATTACACTGATTATGCCAGACTTGCTAAACTAGAGTTACCAGACATATCTTTGATACATCCAGAGACTTAAGTTAGAAAAACCCTAAAACCTCTGGAAACCAGAAGGACCCTGGAGAAAGCTTCTTAGAAGTATCTGCACCACTTCCAAAAAAAAAAATCCTTTGGTGTAGGCAGATGATTGCAACCCGACTACAAACATTCTGCCAAACTTGAGGCTTCATCTCTCTGGGCAGATCAGATCATGGAATGTGCCTTGTGTCATGAACTCTTTGTCATAACCTTCCTGGAAATTTTTGATTTCCTAGTCTTTCTGCACAGGCACATTTATTCTTTTTATCCACATCTCAACTGTGTAACTCTGGAGCATTGCTCTGTTCCACATGCAGACCCAAGCTGCACCCTGACCATTTGTCTGGCTGAGACCCCTTCATGCACCTTCCACCCTCACTCTTCATGCACTGATTAACCCTAAGACCTCTAGAAGGTAAGCAGATAACCAGATAAACAAGAAATTATGCTGCGCTCCAACTGATCCCTCAAAAAGGATGATGACACGAGGTCTACAAGCACACAATGATGTGTACTTGCTGTCCATTTAGATACAGTCTTTAACTCCATCTGCTTTTCTAATTCTTGTCAGCCTATTCAGTGCTTCTCTCAAAGTGAAATGGCTGAAATTAATTAATTTAAATAAATCTCGAATGATAGAAATAATATTTATAAATCACAGCTTGTCAGGAGGCTGATCTTAACCTACCTGTGTGCCTTACGTTGGGTATAAAATCTATTCTTAGATATGTATCTGACTGACTCAGAGAAGAAGGTGGAAGGGCAGAGGTTCAGTAGCATTTGTAGAAGTTTTAGTAACCTCCCTTACAACCAAAGCAGAGAGTAAAAGCTCCATAAATAAAGTCCCTATACTGGATGACCTTCTGATAATCAGATACATCATTTCCACTAAGCCCAAAAACCACTCACTTGACAAGATATAAGATAACGGAAAAACAAACCAGACGACTTCAGGTAACAAGCTTTGCATACCAATAGCTTTTCTTTTGCTATTCGCGTCCCACTAAATCAGCTCGTGGTAAAAAACTGCAGTACAGAAGCAATGTGGGATATTTGGAGAACCACGGCCATGTGGTAAGCCCTCCAGATACTCCGAGCCTGACTCCTGATAGCCTGTAAAGGAGCAGGCATCAAGGTCACAATGAGGAACTAAAGGGCCTGCATTAACCGCAGTCAGCAAGACAAACAAGATTTTGAGGAGGAGTTTGATGCGCCTGGCTAATAACGTCAAACGAATCAGAGACTGAGAAGTACAGGTGAACGGCGCGTGGACAGTGCATGCATCCAATCACGTTAGAGCTATCGCGTGGCAAGGAACTATATAAACACGGGTTTGTAGCGCAATAAACTGGCTTTGTCTGATCATATTGGTCATATGACGAGTCCTTAATCCCGCCGCGACAAAGCAATGGAGTAGAATAAATTCCTGAACCCTTTAAGCAGGCACAAGCTTGAAAGGGGAAGTTCTTCAGGCCTTTTCCTAAGTACATAAATCTATCACACTGCTAAATCTGCCATAGCTCTATACCCCATGTTTATTGGTAAAAAAATGGCACCACTTTTTGGTAGAATATTGAAAAGACTTGAAAAATACTTAGAGTGCTTATGAGATAATGATCTAGGAAGCAGCGAAAAAGGAAACATGATGGTATCCTCTACAAAACACAACAACGCGGAAGTGCCGTCTATAATATGCAAAAGTAAAAAGCTGCACTATGACTGATTTCAGCTGGATCAGTCAATTTTTATCATCTCATTCACAGATAATAATTAATGACTGAACTTAAACAGTACATTCAACTCATGGAGTCCTCATCTGACCAGATACAATCAACCTGCAAATCATTCTCTAAAGAGTTCATCCACATAGCAGGTTGAACACATGCCAAAAATACAGACACACCTGTGCAAACACAGTTCTGTCTGACTTGGAATATTCACTCAACTGCAGAGGAAATTTCAGCTACTTTGCTTATAGTTCAGCAGCTTTTGGCAAGAAACTTGAGCTAATAAATCCTACTAGATCCAAAGCAGTTTCGCTGCTAGCTGTGTTTTCCTTATGCTGCACTCCCTGAAGTCGCAGTGCTAATCAGCAAAGTACAAAAGCTGTCAGGGTTAGCCTGGGTCCAACACTGACCCAGTAGCAGTGAACAGCTTGATCCCTGCTGAGGACGCTGAAGCCCATCACAGGGTGTTTGACTTGCATTCCCTCCTCTCCTTCCATCCTCCCACCCTGCTCACTGGCTTGGGTGCTCTGCTGCTCTATAATCCCTGGATGTTTCAGTACGGTGGTAGGATTCTTTAAGCAAATCACTATGAAATGAAGAACTCTGGGAAATGCCAGAGTCATACTCGGCTCAAGACATGCTGGGTTTATTAATTCCAGCTTTGCACAAATTCTGCCAATTCACCTGGCTTCAGTCAGAGTAATTGTCCCAGGTGCCCATATTGATCACTTTTTGCCACGACTCAATCTCCACGTACACTCAAATTTGAGGAATTACTTTGTTAAAATAAAGTAATCTCACAACTTCAAACACTGATTTGTTTACACACAAACATTGATAATTTGATAATGTTTTACCTACATGGCAACATGTTATTTAAATATGAATAAAATGCACAATTATTCTGTATTTTAAATGATTATACTTCACTAAACTGAAAGCATTGTATGACTTAAAAGTGCAGAATTTCTAAAAAATGTGAATAATAAATTAAGACCATTTTATCACATACACTAAGAGCACAGAGAAAATTGCAATAGTAAAAAGAGTAAGTACTGAGTCTGAAAATCAACAGTTTACATTTTTCTAAAAAACAAAACAAAAATGTGTCTACATTGTAACAAAAATCAGTTAAGGGAGGTCCTACAGCCTATGTTTATTTGGAGAATAAGTCAGATGATAAAGGTATTCCCATCCTGTTATCATCTACAATTCTACTTGACTAAAATAATGGAGATTTAAGATGATCATTTACAAGATCAACTTATCTTATTTTACTGAATTATGAAATATTTTCCTCACAAACTAAAATGACCAACATTATGGTTTTTTGTAAGTTCACTGTCAATAATTTTTCAATACTTAATGAGTTATAACTACCTTACTTGACAATAATTCTTGTCTTTCACATCCTGAAATGGAAGATTAAGTAAAGTTCATAACTGTTAGCACACTTTTCTATCCTGGAATCCATATAATGCAAGCAGTTAGAAACATTACTGAAACTGATTTTTATTTAGCTACATTTTGAATCACGATTACAATGTGCTAAGCAGATACAAATTGCAATGGAGGATAACAAAAGAAAATAACATGGCTTTTTCTACCAGTCACACCAGAATATCTTGTCTAGTAGTAAATCTGTAGTGACAATGCACACACACACACTTTTTTTTCAGCTCAATACTTTGTTTCATAACATCAGAAAGAAATTCTCCTTTAATAATGGGGATCCCACTATCAGAAACAACACAAGAGAAACAGAACCTAAAAAGAAAACCTAACTAAACAGATTTCACATTTCTAACTTTCGAAATTATATTTAACATTTCCAATCTTTATAAAGAATTGGGAAGTATGTTAACCTTACCTAAGGTGTGGGGGTTTTTGTGTCTGTTTAAATCTTAGAAAAGAACATGTGGAATTATGTAAATAATTAAGCAGTTTTGTCTAATGTGATGTTCATAAACTTTCAGTTCTTCAAAATATTCACATTTTTGTTTTCCAGTTTCAAATACCCCAAACAGCTGATTTATAAACAATATTCTATTTAAAATGCTTAGATTTGCTACATTTGTAAATATTTCTCCCCAGCATTTCTGACCGTTGAAGAAAGAAGAAGAATTACCCCTTCAGGATTATATTTTGCTAATACACCACTGCCATGGAATTCTTCTAAGACATCCTTTATTTTCTTGGTGGAATCTGGATGAAGAATAAAGAGAGAGAAAATGAAAATACATAAAACTGATCTACATAATATGAAATGTAATTAATGCAACAACCACCAAACTTCTAACAGCTTTTCTCAATGCACATTAACAATTTTCTCTAGCTGTATGAGAGCTGTGGGCACAAAGAAAATGAGAAGATAATATATCTTCTCACCAAATACTGTAAAAATCAGCAAATAAACACAAAAACCACAGACACAAACACTCTTTGACCCAATCCTTAACTATTGCTGAGCAGCATATTTCTGAAGGAGTTGTTTGCAAGGACTATTTCAAGTCACTTTTCTTGTCCTTGAAACCCGAGTCATGTATGGGACATGGTCATTCCTAACAGTGCTACTAAATGTCCTCCAGCACAGCTGCCAGTGAGTAGAGGAACTCTCAGAGGAGCCAAACGATATCAAGACAAAGGGGAAACATGAAGAAAACAAATCTTTATCTGTGGTCACACCACAGAAAACAAATATTGATATCAAAACTTCAGTTTTTTAAGACATCTAAGATATTCTAACCACTGTCAGGTACAGTAACTTCGGAACAACTTTTGCCTAACAGAACTGTGCAAACTCCCTGCAGTTCAGGGAGATGAGGGGATCAGGATGATGAGGGGACTGGAGCACCTCTCCTACGAGGAGAGGCTGAGGGAGCTGGGCTCATTTAGCCTGCAGAAGAGAAGGCTGAGAGGGGACCTTATAAATGCTTATAAATATCTGAAGGGTCAGTGTCAGGAGGATGGGGCCAGACTCTTTTCAGTGGTGCCCAGTGACAGGACAAGGGGCAATGGGCACAAACTGAAGCACAGGAAGTTCCGTCTGAACATGAGGAAGAACTTCTTCACTCTGAGGGTGACGGAGCCCTGGAACAGGCTGCCCAGGGGGATTCTGGAGTCTCCTTCTCTGGAGATATTCAAGATCCGCCTGGACAAGGTCCTATGCAGCCTGCTCTAGGTGACTCTGCTTTGGCAGGAGGGTTGGACTAGATGACCCACAGCGGTCCCTTCCAACGCCAAACATTCTGTGATTCTGTGATTCAGACACACATAGGTCTAACCTTTCCAATTTGTTTTAAATTATCTACATGCAGAATAACAGAACAGTTACTTCAGTAAGTAGCCACTACATAAACCTCTTAAACTCAGATTCACTTAGAATAATACATCGTGCACATAACCATCTTTTCCACCTTAAATACCTCAGCCATACAACTAAAAAAATTTTAAGTCAATTTTTACTTTCAAATGCACTAGTCGAGTGCATAATAGTCAAATGTGCATAACGGCCACAACACTGAAGTAAACCATGAACAGCAGCAGATGTGTTATAGAAGAAAACAGGTAAACTTAGTGGCTGCATATTTATTTCTACAACAAAACCTGGAAGGAAAGGAGTGAAGCAAAGAGTGCACCAAGAACAGGACTATCACATGAGCAATTAGTTAGACACTTAAAATTACAAGCATTAGGAGCTAGTCTTACTAATATTATAATTGTAACAACAAAATACAGCATTATAAGAGTTCTTAAAAGTTACAGAAATTCACCTTAAACCTGATTCCAATGAGTATATTTAGTAAATTATGCAACCCAGAAGGAAAAAATATAGCAGTAAAGGATTTGAAAAATAGCTTTCTGACAGTTCTTAACAGCTATAAACAGGACACACCAGTAAAATTCAGTTTTAAGAGGTGTGGGAGGAGTTGTTTCCCCCTCACCCTCATACACAGTTTAGATTGTAATAATCACAGAATCACAGAATAGTAGGGGTTGGAAGGGACCTCTGTGGGTCATCTAGTCCAAGCCCCCTGCCGAAGCAGGGTCACCTACAGCAGGCTGCACAGGACCTTGTCCAGGCAGGTCTTGAATATCTCCAGAGAAGGAGACTCCACAACCTCCCTGGGCAGCCTGTTCCAGTGCTCCGTCACCCTCAGAGGGAAGAAGTTCTTCCTCATGTTCAGACGGAACTTCCTGTGCTTCAGTTTGTGCCCATTGCCCCTTGTCCTGTCACTGGGCACCACTGAAAAGAGCTTGGCCCCATCCTCCTGACACCCACCCTTCAGATATTTGTAGGCATTTATAAGTTCCCCTCGCAGCCTTCTCTTCTTCATGCTAAACAAGCCCAGTTCCCTCAACCTCTCCTCGTAGGGGAGATGCTCCAGTCCCCTCACCATCCTTGTAGCCCTCCGCTGGACTCTCTCCAGTAGCTCTTCATCTTTCTTGAACTGGGGAGCCCAGAACTGGACACAGGACT